CCGAGCACTCTAACACCAAGTCATTAGCAAATCTAAAAAAAACTACCAAAGCACAAGCTTTATAAATGATGAAAAACTGAAACTCTGGCATGAATAACTTACCTCTCCGTTTAAATAACAGAATAGTAAAGCGACAACGAAGCCCTGTAAAAAAAAAAACACATAAAGTTCTCAAAATATTGAACTAGAATCATAGTCTACACAAAATTCTCTTTTAATTTGGATTTATCAAACGCACTACAATGACTTGTAATCTTATTTGCATATACAAATATACCTTTTCGTAAACAACACACATCCCGGACACAAATTAAACGTCCGCCATTTTGTTTCTGTTCACCCCATTGACTTTAATTTGGTGTAAAAAAAAAATTGCTTTTCTCCATGTATTGCAATGAGATAATACTTGAATATTAACTCTGATATTCACTCCTGGTGACTGACCTCGTCAATATTATTTACAGTTCGTTTCTGCCTCTGAACAGCTATTTTTAAGTGAGTTAAATCTATATAGAAATGTTATTTTAATCAAAAGATGTATTAGTTATTTTCTATACTCAGCTGCTAATTAATATAAATCTTCTTTTAATAATACATAAGTTCAATAACGTGCCAGTCGTCATACCTGTAAACCGTCAATTGCAAAATTGAAATAAATATAGGCGTCCATCCAGCCACATTCTCCAGGTGATGGCCTGTACTTGTCCAGGAAAAAGTGGACACCAAACAAGGGAACGAGGATCAATGTAGCTCGGACTGCTTTTCTGGGGGAATCATTTCAACGCGTGTTACGTCGTATGTAACAAATATATTGTCAGTGATTGTTTTCCACATTTAGAGGTAATTGAAAAGGTTTAATCGCATAACGATATATTATAGTTAAACATTGTAATGAAACAAATTAGCGTTATTTTTTATTGTGAACAAGTATCAAGAGTAAACAGGTTTATGGCTACAATAATAACATAGAACTAAAGTAGGAATTGAATAAAAACAATTTCGGAAAATAACAGCATCGCTTGTGGAATGTTGTTTAAAGCAATGAATGACATTTGATGGAATGGACACAACACGTTTTATTAAAGCTTTTAATTCTGAAATATGATGGACTAGACACAATACGTTTTATTAAAGCTTTTATTTCTGACATTTGATGGAATAGACACAACACGTTTTATTAAAGCTTTTAATTCTGTCAGATTTTTCTGTTGTCTACAGTTTAGCACAAAGCTACACAATGGACTATTGTTTGTTTGTAGTTAAGCACAAAGCTACACAATG